GCTTATAATATCTATATTATTATTTAGCTAGACTTTATACTATTAAAAAGTACTTTATTATTATTTAAACGTATGTATATTAATCATAATAGCTATAATATTAAATTAGTTAAGAAAGGGGCCTAGTCCGAGGGGGGTAAACTTGTTAAAGAGTATTATTAAAAAGTCCTAGCCTGCTAATTATTAACTATATATTAAATATAGAATAGGTTTTTATTAATATAATTAAACTACCCGGACTCTTAACTAGTTCTAACTAATTATTTCATTAATTACCTAGCTAGTAAATTACTTATTAATAGGTTTATTTAATAGGTTTATTTAATAGGTTTATTTAATAGGTTTATTTAATAGGTTTATGTAATAGGTTTATGTAATAGGTTTATTTAATAGGTTTATGTAATAGGTTTATTTAGTTTAATTAAAAAAAAGCTTATAAGTAATATAGAAAATAATAAAAATAGAAAAAATCTTTACGAACTTTAAAAGTAGCTAAATATTAACCCTTTTAGCCCTTTTTTTTTAAAAAAAAAAAACCTTTACGTTATTATTAAAATTTAGAACCTCTATAATTAAGGGCTACCTCTAACTTTTATAACCGACCTTTATAGTTAACACCTTTAATTATTACCGCTATATAAAATAACTTATTTATTTTAAATTATATACTAGTTTTTATATCGAAATTATTATATTAAATTAAACGCGTATTTAAAGTATATTTTATGTAGTGGTTTTTTTCTAGCTTTATAAGTATAAAAGATCGACTTTAATAAAATTAGGCTTTTAAAATAAATTATATAATATAGTATACTTTTTAATTATATAATACGCATAATATACCCTAAATACGTACTTAACTTAATATAATAATTTCGATATAAAAACCGCTATATAATTCTGTTATAAAAGGGAACTCGAGGTAAATTAGAACGCTACTATATTAACTTAATAGATATAACTTAATATAAAAAGGGAAAAAGTAGACTAATAAATAGAATCTAGGGCGCTAGGCTTTTAGGTTTAGCGGTTTAATAATTATATAACCTATAAAAGGTCCGCCGGGTATTTAAAGTTCGGGTATATAGCTAGGGCCTAGTATTTAATACTATAATATTACCTCCCCCTTTAATATAAAAAGCGCTATTTATAATACTTAAATTTTCTTTTTAAAACCTCTATAATTATCTTTTTATAAACTACTAAAATCTTATTAATTAACCGTCGTTTACCTCTATTTTATTATTTATTAATAAAACCTAGTATTTAACCTTTTTATAAATATTAATAAAGTAAAGATTAGTACCCGTATAGCTTTAATTTATTAAATATTAAAGTATAAAATTACCGCGGGCTAAGGCTTATTTTTAAAGGGTCCGCTATAAACCGTAAATGGTATTAATAATCTAAATATTATTATTAACGTCCTTTAAATTATTATTATAAACGAGGAAGTATTAACTTTAAGTAGCGTTTTTAATTATTATTATAGCCTAAGTATATTAATCCTTTATTGTATTACTCTTTATATTTTTATTATTTTCTAAATCCTCCTTTTTAACTTAGTTCTCTAACAGAGTACTAAATAATATAATTTTATAATTATTAATAGTTAAAGTTTATAAAAAAGTAACGAGCATATTATAGTCGTTTATATTAACTAGGTAATTATAATATAAGTTATAGATTTTATTAATAGCGAATAATACTTTTTAATAGTAAATATAGGGGCCTTTATTATATTAAAAGGCTTTAAAGTAGTTAGCTATATTTAATATTAACGATAATAGGTTAAAATTATATACTACGGCGCTTATAATAACTATTATTACTATTAATATAAAAAGAATTCTATATTAATTTTTAGGATTAATTAAATTATTAAGGAAATAGATAGTAATATTGAATAAAAAATTAGTTTTTAAATAGTAGTTCTAAATCCGTTAATAATAGCTTTTTAACTAAGTAGTAAAAGAAAAAAGTTTAGTAAATGCTCTTATTTTTAAATAAGCTTTAGGCTTTTTTTAATAAATTTATTATAATAAAGTTTATTATAGTATTATCGTTAGCCCGTAATAGGGCTAGGTTATTATTAATTACTATTTTTATTTATAACGAGAGGTTCTATAGTAGTCCCGCAGCTATAAAGTATTATTTATAAAAGTCTTATAATACTATTAGTATATAATAAAAGCTCTTTATATTACATTATATTAGGTTATTATTATACTCTTTTTAATTAGCTTAGTACTATAGCTTACTATACTATATTTATAATTTAACTATTTATAAAACTTTATATTTAAGTTTATTAATACTATAATAAATTAGTAATAGAGGGTTTTAATATTAACTAAATAAAGGGTTCTCTATAGCTTTCTATAGCTTACTTAAATAAAATACTAAATACGCTTTATTATTTATTAATAATTTAACGACTCATATACTACTTAAACCTATATTAATAATCGGCTAAGGGCTAGCCTAGGGCTACTATAACTTATTAATATCCTTAGTTTTTTAATATAATACGTTTATAAATACTTTATTATTAGCTTTTAAATTATTTAACTATTAATAATAGTTAATATATTTCTAGTATTTTACCTAGGTAACCTCTATATTACCTTTAATAATTTCTTAGGCCTCGTAAATACTTTAAGCTATTTACTAAGCCTCGGTATAATCAAACTTTTTTTTAATTAAATTAAAGCGCCGGGTTTTAATAGTTTAATTAAAAAATAGTTAAAGTTGATAAATAAATTTAATTTTATAAAGTAATAGCCCTATAGTTTTGTTAGTTAAGTAATATAAATAAAGTCTATTATAAATAGTATATTACTTTAATTATTTTAATAATAGTTAACTAGGGGCTATGAATATTAAAAAATATACTAATTTAGGACCTCGGTCTAGCCGTTTATTTATAAATAGTCTATTATTAGTAATTATAGTTTAATATTATAAAGTTTATATAGTTCTTTTTAAAAGTTAATATAAATTAAAGGCTATAATTAAAAATAATAGTTTTAAATAGCCTAAAGATTAGTAATACTCTTTTATAAAATATTTTATTTATATCTCGCGCTATAATAGTTTTATAATAGGGTACTAAAATAGCTCTTTTATTTAATTTATTAATTACTATATATATTATATTATAGCCATTTTAATTAGGGGGTACCGTTATAAAATCTATTAAGATATATTATTATAAGTAGTTAGGTATTAATAAAGGCCTTAGCTCCCCCGGAGGCCTATTATAGGGCTTTTAAAAGCGATGTATATATAATAGTTTTTAATATATTAATATATATTTATTATAAAGCTAGGCTAATAATATCGCTATTTAACTATTTTAATTATTTTATTTTAGCCTAGGTATATAAAGAGCTTTTATTTATATACTTTATAAATTATTATAATATATAGATTATCCTTTTTTAAAATAACGAGTTTATTATTTATTATAAATAGGCTATTATTTTAAATCTTTTAATATTTTTAGCTTTTATAAACTAGTGCTTATATTAAGGCTAATAATAATATTATAAAACTATAGTTTAGTTTTTATACTTTTTTAATTAATAAATATCTTTAAAGCTCGTTTTTTAATATAAAAGTATTAATAATAAGCTCTGGCTATTAAACTATAGTTTTTAATAATATTCGTAGCTTAATAATAATATTTAATAATAATAGCTTTAAAAGTAATAGGACCTAAGTATAGTTAGCCTCTTTAAATATTTATTAAATCTTAATATTCTCTATCTTTTTTAATAATATATTAATAAATATATTTTTTTACCCTAGTTAATATTATATTTAAAAATTAAAGTTAGTTAGGATATTAATTCTTTAAGCCTATTATAAATTTAATAGCCGCTTCGTTATAAAAAATAGAAGCGGTTAATAGTATATAATAATATTAAACTTTTAATAATAACTAACTAGCTTAGCGCGCTATTCTTTTAAATAAATTATTATTATTAATATCTTTTTATTATATATAACGTAATTAAACTCTATATTATTTATAGTTTTTAAATAGGACGTAACGGGGTATTATAAACTATTATTTATTTATTATTAAACTAAGGCCTTAGCGTATATTAAATTTAATATATTAGTTTCTAAATATATAAATAGCTCTAGCTAAAAATAATAAAATATAAATATCGTTATAAAGGCTAGTTTTAATACTTTAAACGTACTATTATAATCTATTTGTTTTAATGTTCTGCCTTTGCGTGCTGCTCGGGCGATTCTCGATATCGTTAACACAGTATGAAAACACAGTATTGGTGGATACTCCCACTGTCTCAATAGACTATTTTTTTTCGGATTTCCTTCCACCTTTTCAACTTTCCCCTCCTTTAACCACGGATCACTCGACTATTACAATCTATATTAAATTAAAAGTATATATTTTTATTAATTAACTTTATTAATAGCCTAGCTAGGTAGCCGTAGTCCTTTATAAACTATTTATAAAAATTATAAAACTTAAAAAATAATTAAATACTTTTTAATAATATAAATAGCTTTTAATTAAATATTATAAAGACTTTATTTTTATTAAGTTATATATTATTAATACTACCTATAAATCCTAAGTACTTTATAATAATAATACTAAATTCGTACTTCTTAATATTAACCTCTAATTTAGCTTTTTATAAATAATTTAGTATTTTTATAACGTATTTATAATATTATAAAGGGTCGTTTAAAAAGATTAAAATATCGTTTATATATATAATATAGAAGTTATTTAAGTATTTTATTAATATATTGTTTATGTATTATTAATATATAATTAGTCTATTATAAAAACCGAAGGGTAATATTTTATATCTATATGCCTTATAGCGGGTATAAAAAGTTATAAAGTTTTTTAAAATAGGGTTAAAATAAATATAATAAAAGGCTTATTTAATATTAAGTTTAATAAATACTTTAACTCGGCTTAGCTATATTAGCGTTTTATTAATTAAAAATTAAAAATAACAATCCTTTTTTATAATCTCGTTTAGCTTTTTAAAGTTAATATAAAATCGTAAATTATTATTATATTTTTTAATAAATAGCGTTAATAATATAAAAAGGGCGTTCTTAAGTTTAATAAATCCTTTATAAAATTTTTTTAAAAATAGGCTTAGGTCGCCTCTAGCTTAGGTACCGATTATTTATAAAGGTAATAATAAATAAGCTTTTCTTAATTTCTTTTTATAAGCTCTATTTTATAATTATAATTATAATATAATATTAATAGATTGCTCGCTATTTTATTAAAAATATCTATTTAAAGCTTTAATATTTTTAAAAGCTTTTTAATAATAATGTTTTAGGTTTTTTAGTTATTACTATTTAGGGGGTCCTTTTATTCTTTTTATTTATTTTTAATTATTTAATTTAGTTTATATAATAATATAGAGCTTAGCTCTATATCCTCGCACTTTATATTAATTTTAAATACTAAAGTATTAATAAAATTAATATTTAAAACGTTATTTACTTTTTTATATAAATAAAGGCCTATATAAGTTTAGTTTTTATTAAAGATATTAATAATATATTTTCAAGCGTGCAGTCTATTTTCTAAGCGTTCTTAGTGTTATTAAACCGCTATATACGTTAATCCCTTTTATTTAAAAATTAATTAAGTATTTTAATAAGCTTAGGTAATACCCGTTCTTTTATAGCTATTTATTATATTATATTATACCTATTTTAAATATATTTTATTATTATTTAATATCGATTTAATACTATATATTAATAACTTTAGGGGTAAATAGGTTTTCAATATCCTAAATAATAATAAAAGGGGTATTTTATAATAATAATTCTTTAAGCTATATAAGGCGTTTATAATATATATTAGGGTTTATTTTATAATACTTAAACTATTTCTATTTAAAAATTAAGTTATAGTGCCCTATATTAAGGTAGAATAAAAGTATTTTTAAAAAGACTTAACGGTTAATATATAAGTTAATAATCTTTACTATATCAACGTCTTCTAATCGCTTATTATTAAATTTAATCATAAAAATAGGGTATAATAATTTATTAAATAGGGCTATATAGAATTTTCGTAATAATAAAGTTATATAGTTATTTATAAATCTATATTTATTAACTCCTATATTAAATAAAACTTTTAAACGAATTTTATATTTATTAAATATTATTATAAACTTAATTTCAAAAAGTTACCCTTTTATAAAGTTCTATAAGTTTATTAAATAAATCGTTAATCTTCTATTTTCTTTAGATTTATTCTTTAATTAAAAAGTTATTTATATTAAAGGGCCTAGTTTTCTAAATCTAAAACCTATTATTTATTAATAATATTTATAATAGCTATAATAATAGCTAGCTTTTTAAAGTAGTCTCGGGAAATATAACTAAATTTATTATAAATAAAATAAATACTACTATTTTTAAGTTTTTAATATAGGGCTTTAAAAATAGTTTTATAGTTAATAACTTAGCTATAAATATTCTATTTAATAATACTACTTCTATTTTTAATAAAAGTAATATAAATAAGTATAGCGCTCTTTAAGGCCCGGTTATTAATTATTAAAAGCTATATTATATTAGCGAGCTAAGTAATATATTTAAAATATTTTTAAAAAATAGCCTAGTTCTAAAAATAAATAGAGAGCTTATTATAAAAGCGGCGCTTTTATTAAACCTTTAGGAGTTTATTAATATAAATAAGCTTACTAAATATAAAGCGCTTTTAATAAATATTTTTAAAAATAATAAAGAGAGTATTTAGCTTTTAGTTAACGTTATTTATAATAATCAGGCTAATATAGGCTAATTTAAATTTATATAGTAATTAATCAACTATAATAATTTCGTTAGTAATTAATATAAAGTAAATAAACTCGGCTATAATATTACCGATTTTATTAATAATATATTTTAAATAATAGCTATTAATATTAAAGTTCGAATTTTTAAAACGCTTTATAATATATTAGAGCTAATAAAAGAATTTTAAGCCTCTATTATTATTATTATTTATAAAAATAAAGACGTTAAGTAGTTTATTTAATTTATAAAAGGGCTAGTATATTAAAACCGGAGTAGTTTTATAGCTACCCTATACTTTAAATTTAATAAAACGCTACTTTAATATATAATAAATATCGCTATTATTATAGTTATTATTATTATTATTACTTTAAGACCCGTTCTTTAATTATTTAATACGTTTATTAAGCGTAGCGTTAATATAGAGGGCTTTATTTAACTACTTTTTAATATTTTAAAGCTCTATAATATCTCTATCAATAACTTTAATATTTTTTTTAATTATTTTATATAGCTATTTAGTATTATTATTTAGCTAATTAATTATAAAAACTAATACTTATTCAAACTAGTATTAAATAATATATATCTTTAGCTAGTTTTTAATTTAAATATAAAAAATAATACCCTCGTTCTTTTTATATAGCTCTTAAATAAATTTAAAATTAGCAGGGTATTATTTAATATTATTAAAAAGTCCTTCGTTACGAATTTAAATAGGGGTTACGAATTTATTAATAATATAATAAAAAGAGTCGAGTTAGTTATTTTATATAATAAAAAGTAAAAACTATTTAATAAATTAATTAATAAAGTTAATATCGGAATTAAATATAAAGAGCTTAGTATTTTTATTAATACTTATAATACTCTAATACTATTTATATAAATAATAGCCCTATTAAAAGTTATTAATATAAAAAGATATTTATTCTCTTTAACTCTTATCTCGGATTATAATATTTAATAAAAAGGGTATATATATTTAAAAAATATTAATTACTTTATATAGTTAATTAGTTAGCTATTACTTAATATTGTACTTCTTTTTAATAAAAGTAGCTATATATTATAGTAGGTTTAATAAATTAAAATATTATTATTCTGTTTTTAGAGAATAAATTAAATTAATTAATATTAAATAGTATTATAAAAAGGAACTCGAAGTAGGTTAGAACGCTACTATAGTAACTTAATAAACGTAACTTAATATAAAAAAAACTAAACTAATAAATAGAATCTAGGGCGCTAGGCTTTTAAATTTAGCGGTTTAGTAATTATATAACCTATAAGGGGTCCGCCGGGTACCTAAGGTTCGGGTATATAGCTAGGGCCTAGTGCCTAGTACCGTGATAATTCGAAATAAATAAATTACTTTTTATATAATAATAGTAATTAAAAAAGTTAACTATAAAAGTTAGTTATAAAAGTTAGAAGCGGCCCTTAACTATAAAGATTTTAAACTTTAATGGTAATAAAGAGGTTTTTTAAAAAAGGGCTAAAAGAGCTAATATTTAGCTACTTAGAGCTCGTAAAAATTCTTTTTATCTTTATTACTTCTTATATTATTTATAAATTACTTTTAATTTAAACTAAATAAACTACTAAATAAACTCATTAATATATAAACTACTACCTAAATAGATAACTAGTTAAATAACTAATTAAATAACTAGTTAAATAGTTAGTTAGTTAACTAATTATTTTAATAAAAACTCATTTTATTAATAATACCCCTCGATAGGTCTCTCCCTCTAGGGCTTAATAAATTAAGCCCTTTTAATACCCTAGCTATTATAATTAATATAAATATATTAAAAAAGTAATATAATACCTTTTAATAATATAAAATCTAGCTAAATAATAGTATAAACGCTATAAATAGCTAGGCTAATATAAATACTAAAATCTGATTTATTAATATTAGCTTAAAAATTATATTTTATAAAGTTAATAACCTTCTAAATACGAGCTATATTATAAATATAAAGGATTATATAAAAAGACCTTTAACTTTTAATAAAAAATAATATATTATATTAGACCTAGCTATTTATATAGGCTAGTATTAAAAGGTTTTATATATATTAAAATAAATAAACCTCGCTCTTTATTACAACCTAATACGCATAACTAAGACCAGGGCCTGCCCTATAGGCTTATAACGGCTATAATACGCTATATATATATAAAGATACTAATATAAAAGTCACCTTAATAAAACAAAAGAACTATAAATAAGTTATATAATAATAAAAAAGACTAATAGATAATAAACGGTCTATAAATAGGACCGATAAAATAAAAGCGGTCTACCTTTATAAAACCGATATCGTAATATTAGTCTTAATTATAAAAGAACTATTTAGATAATATATAGGATTTATATATAAAATAGACTCGAGCCGGGCTTAAAAATAGACTTCTTATAGCTTTTTTAATAATTAATTTAATATTAGATTTTATAATCGCTTTTAACTATTTTTATTAAAAACCCTTTTTAATAAAACTATAATTAATTACTAAAGCCTTATTTATTTTATAATTTATAGATATAGCTTTAAAAAAGCTATCTATAACTATAATACTATTTACTTAGCCTTTATAGCCTTAACTTCTATTAATATATTTATTATAACTAGCTAATTATAATACTTTAATTACTCCTATTTAATAAGTTTATTTTATAAAAATTAACTAAATAATATAAATAATATTTTCTCGTACCTTTACTAAATTACCTACTCCGGGTTCTTCCTTTTTTTTTAAATAACCTATTTAAAGCTTAGCTAAAGAAATAGAGGTAGCCCTAATAAATATCGACTCTAATAATAAAATTACTTTTAAAAAAGACGTCTATAAATAACTTAGAGAACGAGTTAAAAAAGGAAACGTAAATATCGTTAAAATATAAACTATATATAACGAAACCGCGTATAAGCTTTATAACTTTAAAGTTATAATTTAGTAATTTAGGAATAGCCCTTAGCGTATTTAAGACCTAGAAAACGAAGTTATTTAATTTAGAAAATAAAAAGTAAATATTAATATCTAGGCTTTTTAAAGAGAGGTTAATACCCTCCGAGCCGCTATTAATATTATTAATACCCCTCTCTAAAGAGGATAATAAAAACTTAAACTTAATATATTATTATTTATAAAAGTACCCCGGGTACTTTTAAAGGATTTCTAATCTAAATTAAGAACTATTAAAACTTCTATTATAAAGACTTTATTAATAAAACCGAGAAAGTTATATATACTATTAGTTTCTTTAGGGACGGCCCTTAAATAGTTTAAACCTATTTAAAAGGAATAC